ACACACACACACACACACACACACACACACACACACACACACACACACACACACACACACACACATCACTTAACTCACTAAATCACTGTGGGAGGAGCATTAATAGCTCACTAGTTGCATTTTACTTTAGCCTTCATTGAAGCTACAGGAAAGCTGTTTATCAGAAGGAAACACATCAGACTTTATTCAGAAACATTACAACACTGTTTACTACTGAAATGCAGACTAGTTTTACTTTATTTTTTTATTTTTTGGCGCCACTTTTGAGGCGCAAAGGGATTAATACAGCCGTTCAGATCATGTAATGTTCTTTAGGTTAAAAAAAAGGGGGGGGGGAGGGTTGTTTCTGTTCAGGGCAAGATTCAAGACTGGAATTATTACCAAACCAATAATAACCAACGTTGCTCCACTGTGCTTCCCCCTCCGGTGCATCGATTAAGTTTGTTTTAAACACAACGGTGGAAACTGTGAACCAGCAACTGTTCCCTCAACTGATGATCATCTCGTTTATAATCCACATTCAAAGTAGATRATCTCTGAGGGAAACTGAAAGCTGCTCTGGAGCAGTTGGACGTTTTGGTACATACACTACCTTTCATGCCTTGTCGGTGCGTTAGCATAAAATCCACTCGCCAGCTCACTTTTTACCATATCATAGCCCTTTTAGGGGTTTTCATTCATTCTTTGGATTTAATTAATTAAACATAACTCAAACAGAACCAAAACTGACATTTTTTTTAATGTGGGGTTCTGTAGAAAGGTTTTGAACAAATACTGTCTTACCTGTTGTAGATGGCTCTCTGGATGCCTTCAATCTAGAAAAACTGAGTTGAAATTTGACCAGATTGATGAACTGAAACCGCAGTGAGTTGCTTTCATTTCGTAGCAGTTCATGTAAACACTTTTTTTTAGAAATCTTTCAACATTTAAAAAGTTTAATTTTCARGAAATTCTCAGAAATTTTAAACCCTCGAGTTYATTTAAGATGTAAAATTTCACTTTGGAAGTGGGTCCACGCTGACTAGCCAGTAGCTCATTAAGCCAGTCAAACCGGGCCTGTTCAAAGAGCCACCTACAACAGGTAAGATAATAATTGTTCGCAACTTTACTACAGAACCATGCTTCGAAGGATATCAACAATGGCTTTGATGTTCAACAATCATCCTCCTAAAGAGAAACAACTTCTGAAATCGTTTGTTTWGAAAACTAAAATAACGTCTGATTTGGCTTCATGCTCGTAAACCTCTTGCAAGTTGAGCAACAAATTCATTTAACTAGAGTCTGAAGCCCGTCCACGCAGGAATGTGCYAAAATCTTTTGTTCTTTCAATTTTGGGATCCACGTGGAAACTGCAGTTTAAGAGTCACTAACATGTTTAACTTTTATTTTTATTGAGTTCCAAAGGGAGAAAATCTTGAAACCTTTTGCTCTTAAATTGTAACTTCTCGTTATTTTTCTTCTCGCGTTTGCACTTAGTGCGGCTGCTCCACGTCATCACTTCCTGTTTCTGGTGTAATTTTGTGACAGCGCCACATCCAGGCCTGGCATGGTTACTACAGCACATCTTTGCTTGTGCATTTCCTGTGTGGATGGKAACGTTTTCTAAAAACAATACTGTGTTTATGAGGATGGTTTTAAAACATCAAATAAAAGACGTCCCTTCCATGTGGACCGGGCCTATCTTATCTTTTTCATTGAACACTGAACAGGAAGTCTTGTTTTGTATTAAACCCCAGAACAGATAACTAAAACATCTTGTAACCAGCAAAGACTGACATTAATACCAAGTGCTTTTTTTTATATTTAACATCACCTGCTTGGTACTAATTTTAATACATACTAAAATATGCATTTAAAAGTTTAAGTTTTGCAGACGTTTTTAATACATTTGTACCAATATGTTTTTTTTTCCTTTTTGTTTTAAAATAAATTATTTCTTCTTGAAGCTGCACAGAATCCAGCTGGAATCTTTTATTTGCGCTGGTTTTTTTTATGGTTTAATCAGCCTTCTAATGCTTTTGAACTCACCGCCAGTTAACAAAAAMATGCTTCCTGGCTGCCGGGAGGAGCGTTGACAGCCTCTGAAGGCGGACCGGCGAAGTCGTCTCTTACGTGGGGAAAAAAGATCAAATGCAGCTGAAAAATAAAAACGGAAAAATCGGGGAAACTGACTTTTTATCGCCGCTGATCATCAGTGAACTTGTAAATCTATTTTTGAAATGTAACGTACCAAAGTGAAATTTTTCCTCAAGAGGTACAGAAGTAACACCTTGTTTTACTTTTGACCTTTTTGGCTGCTCGTTTTGAACCACCTCAGACCAGGAAGTGCAGGTTTATGTGTCGATCTCAGTCGTCGGGTTTTCTCTGAAAGTCGACGTTCCAAACTCCCCCCGACTGGTCTGAGCTGAAAATATTTCCTTGCTTTATTCTTCCCTCTTCCTGACTCTTTATGTCCATTTTCTACCTCTACACTTCTTTATATTTACCCCCCACCCGCGCTTTAACTAATCAACGTCGTGGCCTGATTCAGCTCTTTACGAGGAAAACGACTAAATCCGTTTCCGCTTATTTAAAATTTTGCACAAACAGATCTTCCCTGCATGGTGCAAACTACTGTATGCATAAACACATTTCTTTTTCCAAGTCCTTTTATTTTTAACTTTGTGTCTTTAAACAAAAAGTCTTGCTCACATGTAATATAGAGAAATCACAACCACTTGTTTTATATATATGTTCATTTTTTTCTGTAAAGCTTTAGTTCTTGTATTTGATTTTATTTTTGTAGATATCATTTTTAAAGGGATGCATAAATTATTTCCTTTTTGTTTTATTTTTAAAAGAAATGGTGACTTTGTTAGCTGCACAGAAAGTGTTGTGGATTCATGTGTTTGGTGAGATTAAAGCTGAAGAAACTGGATTTTCAAAACCGCCTGATGTGGAGTTTTTATTTACAGCAATTGTTTGTGTTTTAACGATTCAGGAGATTTCTGTTTGCAGTAAATAACAGTGTTTGTTGTCTGTTAGGTGGGAGGGAGGGAAAGATAATCCAGGTTTATAGAGGTTTTTTGCTCAGCAAATCAGAAAACTGTCAGCTTTCTTTCTCTAGCCTTTTACAGGACCGGATATGGATTTTCAAAGTAAAAGAACTTAGGTAAACATTAAAATACAGAAACCTCAGAACAGCTCACAATTTAATAACCTCAAGATAACCAAGGTAGTTTTATTTAATCCTGGAGAAACAACGCTTGTTTTCCTGAGATAACATTTTATTTCAGTGGTCTCCATCGTGGACTGCAGCTCCGCTCCCCTTCTGGAACAAGCTGGTTTCTACAATGTGAAGAGTTA